CTGCACCGGAGCAGCGGAACGAGGACCGGCACCGCGCCGGACTCCGCGATCAGGACGCGGTTGTCGGCGCGGTTCTTCGCCAGCAGCCTCAGCTTCGCCGCCGCCGAGCGCTTCACCGCCACCGACTGCGACTGGAGGCCGTCGATGCAAATCTTCACCGTCGGCTGGAGATCCTCCGGCGAAATGCTCTCGATAATCTCCGTGGAGAAGCTCTCCCTCTGCAGGAACCCCATGCAGGGCTCGGGCTCCAGCTCCGGCGCCTCCTCGCCGCCGGCGTCGCTCTTCTGCGGCGACGGAAGCGTGGCGAGGCGCTGCAGCTCGCCGGAGATGTCGCTGCTGCAAGCGGAGAAGTCGCTGAAGGCCTGCGAGAGGTCGAGGAGGTCCTCCTCCGCCGGCGAGGATTTCCCCGATTTAGTGTTACGCGATGCGAGCTCGCCGAGGCGGAGGTCGACGACGGAGTCGGTGAGATTCTCCGACAGACACGTGGATTTCTCGGTGAAGGAGCAGGTGCTGCTGTTGTCGTCTTGGAAGAAATTGGAGCGTATTGTGCGCATGGACCTTCCGATGTGACGCTGCGATTTGGAGGAAACCGAAGAGTGATACTGATAAGCCCTCGGCAAGGGAAAACGGCTCGAATTGGAGCGAGATTCCTCCAGCGAAACCATTGTCGAAGCTTCCACGCACACAAATTTGGGATTTAGGGTTTTGTGTTTCGTGATTTTTCAGAAGTTTAGAGCTTCATAGTGGGAAAAGTAAGTGAAGGCTGCGCCAGGTTGAGGACGACGAATAATAAGGAGAAGGGGAATAACTGTTATTTTTATTTGGTATCCTGGGAGGGCTATTCTCACTGGGCGTTCAGATTTGTTGTGTGACAGTCGGTGGTGATGAGGTGGGACCCTTTTAATCGACGGTTATTGAGGCGTGGGAAGTGAGGTAGTAATAGTATGATGTGGGATCGTCGGCGTCGACCTTTTTTAACTAGAGTTCATGTGTGGTGAAATGACTGAAATGTCCTTGTGTGTTGTTTGAGTTTGGTGGCATGGGAAGATTCTGGTGCTGGGAGCTGTACGAAAAGAGTCAAATACAGTTGTCAAGTCGAAGGAACGAGTGGCACGTGTTTGCATCATGAAGCCAGGGGTTTGCACTTTACCGTGTGATCTGTATTATCTGAGTTATTTATTGCAAGTCAAAGTGGTTTTTATGGGACGTAACCGGGATATCTTGTATGGGACTGTTCCTTTACCTTATTTAACTATGACATTGTCATACATGCATTGCCAGTATACTATAATACTAATGCTATTGCATGCCCTTGCCTTCGCATCCCACATTTTTTTAAAATAAATTATGAATTATGGATTTAGATCTTTATTTATTACATTTTTAAATAGATTATTTTATTTACCCGCTTTCAAATTCATTTTTTATTGTAATTTCTTTTCAGGCTACAACTGTATCTCTCTCCACGGATAGTCCAGTGAACTCTCACTTCTATGGTGGTCCTCCTCCGTATACAGCCTTAAAATCAATGTGTTAAAAACATTAGACAATATTGGCCAAATGACAGTGTTCGGGTACCAACCACTCAATTTCTCAAGCATAGTACATGGTAAAAATTTATTCTTTACAGTAAATTAATATGTAAAGGCAAAAATTAAACAACTATTTAATGTTCATTTTAATTAAAATATTTTATACTTTTTTTTATTTTTAAAAGACTTAAATCCTGAATATTGTCAAACAACTATTGAATCGATAATATGTAATTTAATTTGATGAGAAAATTAAAAAAAAAATATCTTAACTAGTAATGAATTCTAATAATATACACATTTTTCTAAAACTAAGTCTTTAATTTAATTTTAACGTAAAATAAAAAAACTAAATAAAATGTTTGAGTTTGAGTGTTATTTTAGTAGACTAAAAACAAGTGGCCAATAAACAAATGGATAAATATTCAATTGGAAATGCCTGTGCCTATGGGTGCTGCGATGGCAAATGGTTCTACTCAGTGTTTTAAAACCGGGACCGACCCGGCCGGTCGGACCGGTTGGACCGGGAACCGGTGGTCCAACCGGTTCAAATCTGAAGTTGGATCGGTTATACAGTCGACCCGTTTTAAACCGGATTGAACTGGTCAATTTTCCGGTTCAACCGGTGAACCGGTAGGTCAAACCGGTTCAACCACTTTTTTTTTCTTATTTTTTTTAAATTTTTTTAAGGGACCATAAATCACAAAAATAATAATGAAAATTGAATCTCTTAATGAAAAAGCAAGGAGTCTTATTAAATATAACAATGAGTACTTGTTCTAATATATTTGTTTGCAATATATACAACTTAAATAACTTTTATATTATATTATTAATTTTAAATTATATATTTAATAATGCAATATCTATGTAAATATTACATATATTATTTTGTGATATTAATTGCAAGCATATTATATATGTACATATTATTTATATTTTTAATTTGTATTAATATACCGTTTAACATGTAATTTTTTTATGTATTTTTTTACAAAATAAAAATAAAAATAATTTTAAATAAGATAGAAAAATTGAAATTTAAAATAAGATATGAATTTATTAAAATTTATAAGTATAAAATATATTTAATATAATATTTTTTAATAAAAATCAAGTCATGCGGTTCAACTAATGACCCGTCGGTTCAACCTTTGACCCACTGATCCAGTACCTTAACCAGTTCGATGACCGGTCCGGTTTTTAAAACTATGGTTCTACTTACCCAAATTTGGTGGGCGCTTCAAGATATTGTGGTACGAAAATTATTTCTAGATATTGTCCATATTTACCGCAAGAGTGGTATACTCGAATGATCGAATGATTATGTGGTATAGATAAAAAGAAAATATATCTTTAATTTTGAGAATAAATTTATCTTGATCTTTAAGATTTTAAATTAATAATTTTAATTTTTGTAATTTAAATAATTTTTTTTTAAATCACCTATTGACCTACAAAAGTAATATCATTGATGAAGTTTCTTGACATAGTGGTTATAAAGTCTATCCTAAAATATGTAAAGTTGACTTGGTGTTCTCAATTTTTTGATTTTGATTTATATTAAAAAAATATGTGGTCAAGAAGTCATATCTTGCATGTACATATTAGTCTTTAATTATCAATTTTAGACACTTCGTGAGCTATGTTCATAAGAAGAAAAAAAGTTATGTAATATTTAAACTAATAACAATAATATAATTGGTGGATTTTGTGAGTAGATTAGTTTTGTATTAGTAGATAGATTTAATGTTAGTATAATGTAATATTTTCACTAACAATAATGACTTTATGACATTAAGCTTAAAAAAATATTATCACAAATTATTTACATATATTTCAAATATTAGATGAAAATATAATTAAAAAAGGTCCACAAATAGGAGATCCATCAATATAGTAGAAGACACACATAAGTTATACTTTCATTAACCAAACACATTATAATAACTTATATTGTTCATATTCTCGAGATTATAACCTTAACCAAAACTTTAGATGGATTAATCTAATAGCACACAGTAAGTTTTGAAATCTTCTTTAGAAAAAGAAATCCCTTAACTCGGTGCATTCAAACATACAACCATCTCTTGTAAGTAGGAAATCACATGCAAAAATTAAAAATATTTATCAAATTACAGGAAAAAAAAAGATCACATAGACAAATATACTTGTCGACCACTGATAAGCGTCAAGTTCATCTAATGGAAATATTGAAATAGGACACTTATCTAGCACAATTTTTTTGAATATAATGATAAAAGTATGGCAAATATAAATGGAATCAAAAAGGAGTCTTAATTGAAGTTATTTTATGGAGTGATGGATTCTCTGATAAAAAATTACTTTTGTTTTGTAGATTTTTTTGAAGAATTGGACAAGGAGGAGCTTCAGGAAACAAACGGCCTAGCCCTTTTAAAGGGTTGAGCGCTTTCAAGTCAGAGAGCATCTCAAGTATAGCAGAGGAGAGGCGCTCAGCCGTTCTAAGGCGCTGAACGGTTTTGTTACTGGAAGAATGAGCACTCTCTGCCTCTTAGGCGCTCAGCGGTTTTAAAGCGCTCAACCTCTTTGATTACTTAATGATGAAGAATTTTCTCAAGCGCTCAGCAAATTTCAAGGGCTCAGCCCTTTAGGTTTCTTCATTATGAAGTATCCTCCAAATCGCTCAGCCGTTTTGAGGCACTAAGCAGTTCCTTCTCTTTCTTGCTTGCTCTGTTTTGATTTCAGCACATATAAAAGGGCATAGGAGAGAGAAAATCAGAGGAGAGAGTGGCACGAACAGAAAAACAAAGAGGAGAAACGAAACAGAGCACCTTGAAGCTCGTGAGAACGCAGTTCTTAGGATCAATCTTTCTTCTTCTACCTTTCTTCTAGTCATTTTCATCTTGTGATTTCATTTATGGAGAGCTAAATCTCTTGGGTTGGGATTGATGTAATCATCAAACTCTTGTGTATTCCTTTTTTATTTATATATATATATATCATTTATTATTCAATGCTAATGATTTGTATTCTGTTCTTAATGCTTGGATAAATTGATCATTTATCTTTGTTATTGGATTTAGAATTTGGTTGGAAAACGTTTTTCTAAATCTATATTTGAAATAAATCACCTATTAGTTTTGAAAGCTAGGAATGGTTTTGAAACTAATAGTTGTAACAAGTTATAGTTCTTAGTGCGAGATGTTTAACTGGATGAAGTGAGGAATCATTCATTGAGTTAAATATCTTAGAACTTCTACTGTCAAGGAATTGACTTTGAATGAATATAAAGAACTCAATGACAATGAGTAATAGAAGGCCATCATCAACCAACTCTTACAAAACTTAACCTATAATATGAGCTAAAAATACGGTGTTCGGTTATATTTATGAGAACTAGTGGCCCAGACCGCCAACAAATAAAAATATTGGGAAAATAAATCTTTTCTAAAATAGTAAAAGTTAAGAAGTTATTAAAAATATAATTCTCATTGATTATTAATTTTCTCGCTTGTCCATTCAATAATTTATAATTACCTTGTTCTTTCTATCTCTTTATCTCCAATATATTTGCAATAAAAAAGAATTAGGTAGACACATCTAGCTTCAATAATTATCTCTCAACTTAAAATTTTGGGTCATAAACACCGCCAAAAATGAAATAGAAACTTGTAATCCTACACTAGTTTTTATTTATTATTTATTATTTATTTAATTTAGAAAATAAAAGAAAATCTTACCATCTAGACTGTCTTGCCCCCACCCATTACAAGCCCCATTTTTAATGAGTTGAACTTTGAAGTTAAAACAAGGCATGCCAATGGATTAAATATCTCTCTCATCCACTCTTTCTTAAAAAACCAAAAAAAAGTTAAGCCAGCTAACCAATGATTAAAATTTGATTTTGTTGCCCATAATAAATGCACTTGAGTTAATTAGTATAAAGTCTTAATTGCTTTATTTATGTGAAGTGTTCTAAGCAATCTCTATAAATAAGTTAGGTATCAAGACATTAGACTTGACCACAAATAAATTTGAAACAATACTTATTAAATTATTATCGAAAAAAAAATATAGCAACATGCCAAAACCTTGTTGTATAAAATTGAAGATTTATAGTACTCATTATAATGTATAAAATTTCAAAGTGACATAAAAAAAAAAACACCCGACGAAAATACAAAATCAATAAAAATAAATCCGGACAACAGTTACTTATAATAACTTGGATTAATAATAAATAAAATCTTTATATATATATATATATATATATATATATATATATAGATCTTGTAAATATATATTGTAAATTAAATATTCGCAGTGCGTATTGCATATCCT